TCTTCTTCTTCTTCTTCTTCTTCTTCTCGTTCTGACTCTCTCTTCCTTTTTTTTTGTTCGGACAAAGTTGAATTGTGGCTGATGCGCATACTACGATCGCTCTTGTCCAATCTCTTCCGCTCACCGAGTAAACGCGATTACGCGCACGTTCACGACGTGCAGATTAAGTGGGACGGTGTGTTGAGTGGGAAGGACTCTTCTTCTACGGCGAATATGGCGCTCAATGGTATGTTTGAATCCGTTGGATATAGAGTTAGTTTGGAACCCCTTCTCTCTCTCTCTCTCTCTCTCTCTCTCTCTCTCTCTCTCTCTCTCTCTCTCTCTCCTCCCTGCAGTGGGGGTAAAACGAATGCCCTGGACCCTGGACCAGTTTTATGCCTAGGGTTTTTTATTTCCGGGAGCTGTGCTCCGCTCACCCCTTTATTTTTGTTCATTTTGCATGAAACGGGTTTGAGGGTGTGATTTTCAGGCACCCCGTGTTTCAGGAACTTTTCGTTCCAAGATTGAGCGAAGGGGTGTGCGGGGGGGTGTTCATGCATCATCCATGGTTTTTTTTTTGTACGGAGATTTTTTTTCTTTACAATTGTCGAGAAAAGATGGACATGTCTTTGCTAATCGTGTTTTTTCTGGGCTTGGTTACAGTTTTCAAGCAACCCCTCGCACTACACTCGACTCAACCGCTAACGGGCTTCACGCGGACCGGATACTGCGAGGTTCCGCCGTCGGATGCGGGTAACCATGCCATTGCGGGTATCGTTTCAAAGGAGTTTCTGGACTTTTCGGCGGCTCGTGGTAATGATTTGCGCCAAGTGGGGCTGACGGATGGCTGCAAGTGGTGTTTGTGTGTGAGTCGATGGAAGGAAGCGTTTGATGCACGGACGGGGCTGGATGATAAAAAAGTGCCCAAGGTTGTGCTCAAGGCGACGAATGAGAAGGCCTTGAGGGGGGTATCGATGGAGGATCTGAAGAAGTTTGCGGTGGATGCGAAGTAGAATGATGGGAAGGTTGATGAAATTGCTATTGGGTATGCCCTATGACCTAAACTAAACATTACAAAATTCTTATGGCTACGTTCACATCACTCTTTTTTCCTCCTATACATTCAAGAAAAAAATTCCTCTTCCTTTTCTTTGACGTTGAACCCCATATCCTCCAGCAATCCTCTAACTACCTTGTGATCATACATCTGTAGAAAATCAGTCCAACACACAACCTCCACACTGCTTTCCCATGTAACCTACAACGAAGATGAAGCTCTGATCTCTTAGTTCTCAGCTAAACACAACCTGTGTCCTAAATTGTACGCAACCCTAACTTGTACGCAACATACCTCAAACCCTCCGTTAATTTCCTGTCCCCATATCCTGTCTCTTTTCCTTTTTTTTCTTCACCCACTTTACACATCCTGACATACACATTAGAGAAAAGAAACCCCCCCCCCTTTTTTTTTCCTCTTTGCGAACAACTATAATTAATCCTACGTCCGAATTACTTAATATTAGTTAGATGATTAGAAAGTGGAGGGTTTCCAGAGTTAGATACTTAACCCACTTTTCTTAACTTCCATCAGATTTTTTTTTAAAAAAAAGGATAAGGTTGTGAGGGGGTCATAGTGACTAAAGTGCAATTCAATTCTACGTGTTGGTTTCCTCTGACACAAGGATGTAGGAGAGAGGAAGCAGTATCCCTTTCCGGGTTGTGTTTCGAAGAAGTAACGGGAGTGGATGTGGTACTAGCTACTTACTGTATTTATTCCGATTTTGGCTCGAGGAACATATGGTTTTTTTAGGTGCATGCGCTTATGGAGTTGAGAGGAATCCAAGATTGCATAGGTATTGAGAATGAGTGCATAGTCGAGTAGATTCATGTAATGACTTCCCTGCTAGTAGTTGAAATAAGAGTATTGTGACACACACACAAAGTAGTCCAAGAAAACTTCAGCAACAACAAATACAAGAGGTGATACTTAAGCAGCCTAACTGGTCTATTAGAATGTGCAAAGTGTAGAGAAATAATTCATGACCTAAACGCCCTTCGCTATGTCCTACCAGCCAAAAAAAAAGAAGCTAGCGTACGAATTTCAAGTCTACCCTTCCCCCAAGATATTCAATAATGCCTACATTACTTCTAATCATACTCCACATAACACATACGTTGTATCAACAGACAGCACCACTACCCCACAACCAAACTCTTAACCCCACCCCCAATCCAAACCAACCCCCTCGCAGCCAGTAGCCCAGGACCCGCATATGCAGGCGGCCCCATGCCCTTCATCCTCTCCACCGCACTCAACGCCGCGACGCCACCCCCCTCAATCGGTACATTCATCTTCCCCTTTTGCAAAATCGCAAAGCGCAGCAGCACCTCGAGGCACGTAATGCAAATACTCAGTACAATAAGCACGATGATGATCCAGGTAATCTTTGTCATTTTGCGATCGCTAATTGAGTCGGAGAGGATTTCGCCGAGGTCGAGGAAGACTTGGCAGCGCTCGTTGAGGACCTGAATGCGGGGTTTGATTTCGAGGTATTCGCGGACGGCGGTGTAGAGGGGGTTCAGAGTAGGTTCTGCGTCCCAGAAGAAGCTGGGGGTGTCGAGCATGTTGGAGGCTGCGGGGGGAGTTAGCAAGAGGGGGGATTTTAGGATTGGGATGGGATAGACGTACAGAGATTGACTTCGACGCGACTGGTGAAGAGCTGACCGATCATCTTGACGACGTCTGTTCTCCGCATACCCAGCTTGCCTGTCAGGGCTAGGCGCTTGGGTACGTTTTGTGCCGCGAGCATAGTTCTGTTCATGCCTTCTTCGAACAAGCTGAGTTTTGTGCTTTGAGCGATTGCGTGGCTCATAGCCAACTTAATCATGTGGTCGCCGCTCTTCAGGGTAATCATATCATTGTACATGCGTGGCCGCTGGATTTCCGGGTTGTATTCAAAGTGGAATTCTTCTGTCTCAAAGTCGGACTCGGTCAAGGGTCGTGTTGCGAGCGAGACGCCAGTGGCGGTAGAGGAAAAGGTGAGGTCAGCGAGAATATCTTTTTCTTGCTTCTCTGTAAAGTTCCAAAAGACTGCTACGCCATAGGAAAAGACAAACATCTCGCCAAAACTCAGCGCATTAGGCGCAACCCTCGAGTTCTCAGCCGAGTCTCTGCGGTCGAGTGTTTGATTGTAGGGATGGTCTAGTTCATGTTCGTCACGCACGAAATAGGTTTCTTCGTTGCCAAAGTATCCCTCGTGATGATCGCGTTGCTCGTTGCGCTCGATTTCCTCGTCCAGCACCGTCTTTCCGCCTGGACTTTTTAGCGCAGGGCTGCTGCGGACTCGGTAGCCGTCGCTTCCTGGCAAGAGTGGGAGATGGTACACAGTATACAGACAGTCATCGTACAGCTTGGTACGCGCATGGTGTTGGTCCTTGACAAACTGAGCAGTGGCCTTCATTTTGTATGCCTGCGTAGTGCAGTAGGCCGTAACGCGCGAGAGCTTGTCCGTCCTCCTGGCTTTGGGCAGTCGCTCCGCATAGCTTTTGTCATTGGGGCCACCCTTTGTTGTCCGTCTTGCAAGATCCTCGTCGTTAGGTGGGCCGTCGTACTCGTCGTCATCGAATTCAGTCTTCTCTTCCTCTTCTTGTCCATCCGTCTCGGGTAAGAGGACTAGCTTTTCGCTGAGCTTGCTTGATCGCGTCGGCATGTGCTGAGGGATCAAGCGACCAGAGAGCCTGGGGTCGAGCGGGTGCCGACCGCTAGGGGTGCGCGTGTGAACCATAGGTCGACTGCCTGGCGGGCCTCTTCGCTGCTGGCTGGGGATGTCGGAAGCGTACTGCAGAATGTTGTCGACCGAGATGAGTCGCGCGCTGGTGCTCTGCCTCTGTACAGCGCTGGGTCGCTGTGGCGGCCGTGGTGCTCTGGGGGTGTTGTCGCGAGCATCGGTCATGAGCACCGTCGGCCCTCTCTTGCTCTTAGCAGTTGGTCCGCTCATTTTGCTGGTCGTTGCAATCCACTTGGCTAGTGGCCGTAGTTTCGAAGATCAGCTGGGAGCTACCGGTTCGCAATCTCCGCGAATATGGTAACAAATGACGTATAAGGAACTTTTAGACGGAATTACAACCGCGATATGGTGAATTGCAGCTGTTGCGGCGCGAGTTGCACCGGCAATGCACGTGGTGTTGACACTTGAAGCAGTCGAGCCCGGCCCGGGTTCACGTCATTGCGCCTTGGCATGCATGCACCCTAGGTATCCATCTCCACATGGTAACGGTCCGCCAAACGTTCATCGGTGGTGCATGCATATCACAAAGCCATCACGTCACTTGTGCAACTACAGATACAATTGCGTTGTTACGAATGTTGCATATCCATTGAGCTTGCTAACTGAATGCCTGGTGCTAACTCCAGAACGCCATGCTCTCTACCTGGAGACTGGCTGTCCATAACCAGAAGACATCAAAAACAAGCTTCAAACCAAATAAACAAAAGGAAGTCCTGCTATAGGTCGTGTATCGACGGAGCGAGGGGGTATCTTATCCATCGCCCACTTGACGTACATCTGCATATCATCCCTTTCAGGCCGCCTCCGATACCGCAGCCATTTCATGCAGATGAAAACGTCAAAGAATGGAAGCAAAAACATTACACATTCGAAAGTAAAACCAGACGACTACTTGGCCGTCATAAATCACAGGCGCTTACCTGGAACGAAGATGAAGAGGCAGCACAGAGCTACTGTGACCACCAAGAACATGAGCAGAACCGTCAGGGAGCGTCTTGCGAGTGTCTTCTTCACAAATGGTTCCCTGATCTTGTTGAAATCGAAGAAAGTATACTCGCTGTAACCCGCAAGGGCAATGATGGGGTCGAGCATGTACTGGTGGGTGAATATCAGGTATATAGCAATGGTGAAGGGAAGAATGATCTGCAAGTATTGTTAGCCGACTATTATTGCCAAGTACGAATCGTTGTTACATACCCAGCACCGTGTAGCTCTTGACTTGTCCAGAAAGATGAGAATGAACGAAGTCCACATGGCTGCGAAGAAGCTAATCAATCCCACAATGAGGCGCACCATCATGCTCTGAGGCACAAGGTTGCCGAGGCCCTTGTTCTGCAGGAACCCAGGGTAGGCGTCGCGCTCCATCGCTTGGAAGACATAGTCTTTAGCCTGGTCAAAGAGCTCAGGATCCGCACGCTGCTCCGGTCCTTCGATCGCTTCTTGAACATCGGACAAAATGCTCTGTGGAATGATAATCTCTCGTTCTGAGCCTGGAAGCAGATATGTGTAGAGAATCTTCTCTGCTGATGCACGCAGATCCTCTCTCCCTGGCTGCGTGTTGTCGATAGATGAGTTGTGGCCAGGCGAGTTCGAATCACCGGGTGTCTCGGACACATACGGGCTCGGTCTTTGAAAGTCGCCAGTCTGGTTGCTACCTTGGCTGTGCTGCGGTGAATGGTTGGGACTTCCACGTTCGGACCGAAGGAAGGCGGACAATCGCTGGTCGGACATGTTGTCGCCCTTTTCATTGGATGGACCTTCTCCGCCATTGTCCATGGCGAAAGTTGAATACCGGTTGTTGTCCAGATCGGGTGTTCCCTCAATCATACTGCGATGTAATCTACGGACATAAAGGCGGCATAGCTGCAGGTGCTGTGAGACATCGAGCCTGGTGGTTTGTTAGCTTATCGCAACTTCTCCAGGTGCGGTCATCGTACCAGAAGTCTAGGTAGTCGACCGATCGCTGCTGATCTCGCATGTAGATGTAAAAGGAGAAGAGGTCCAGAGGTGCGACCGTCTTGCGGCTCAACACCTCAAAGAGCGTCGGGAAGCGGTTGCGGGCGGGACCGTAGTCCATGGAGACCTTGTCATCAGGGTGCGACATGGCTGCGGACAGGTTGATGTGATAGTAGCGAGAGGCGCGCGACAAGTGTCGCTGGTGGACGAAGAATGAAGACTATCGATAGACACAGGGTCTGGCGAAGGGCACAGAGCCCGCAATGCGTTTGCTTGTTTGGTGCTCTGGGTTGACTAGCAATGCGCAGGCTGCATGAACGACGGGAGATGTGCAGATGGTTGGGCAGAAGGCGAGTTGGCGGTGGGTGGTGCCTCGAGACAGGCGACAGCAGCTGGTCGACGGGAGGGGTCGCCCTTGGGAGAGGTGCGGGCGTAGTGGTTGCGCGTGTCGACACGTCGTTGAACCTAGCGTGAAGAATGGGAGATTAGGAGTGAGGTTGGGGCCCCAGCTTGGCACAACGGTTGGTGGAGCGAGCGGCAGTGGCTTGCTTGCGATGCGGCGTCGATTCACGCCGTGTACGATGGGGAGTGTCGCAGCAGCTGAAGCCTCGTGTCACGTCATTTGCGACTTGATGCTATGTAGTACACAAGGTCTGCGTCTTTCATCGATCTTTGTGCATCCATTGTGGGAGCTAGCATTGCTGCCAAAGGCCTGAAACACGATGGATCCACGCAGGTACCATACCTCACGTGATTTCCCCTGCCCATGCTGACGGCCGTAGTAGCCGGCGAGCTCGGATGACAACGGTTGTCAGGAGGGCGACAAGCCGTGTACGTAGTGTACTAGCAATAATGAGCAGACGTCAGCGGTGAGTATTCCTTGGCGATCAATGCCGTTTCTTTTGCTGGTTGCTATTTATACGCTAGCTAGGGGCACCATGGGGGATGTCCAAGTAGGCGCCGCTGGAAACCCTCGATTTCCGCCATGTGCTGTCGGAAAAGCTTCAAGAGTCATGTATAGGCCTTCGCCGCCAGGCACGGTGATAGGCCACCACTTGCGCTGTTCAATGCCACTAGGGCCGTGGGGCTGAAGCAGGCAGCAGTATTTTTTACATACTTCTTTCTGTGCATGTACAGCCTTGTTGAGCCTCTACATATAAGATGAGCTGCCTAATGCGGCTGCGGCCTTTGCTTTTGTGTCGCACTCCTTTTCGAAGCACTCACAGGCATCTAGCAACTATGGCTACCACTAGCAAACTGCCTTCACCTCCACTCCCATCATCTACCCTACCCCCAGGCTTCCTCGAGGGCCCAGCACCCAATCTTACAAAGTCTAAGATCGACTTCAAAGAAGCCGGAATACGGGAATGTGAAAAGTCCTGGGCCGTCGTCCTAGACGGCGTCATGACCGAAGAAGAATGCGAAATCTTGATCAAAGGAGCCGAGGCAACAACCGACGGTAAATGGGAGCGAGCAATGGTAAATATAGGTGGTGGCATGCAGGCCATGTATGAGGATACAAGGAAGTGCGGCCGCATCATCTGGGACAACGAGGAGATTATGGGCAAACTCTGGGCGAGAATAGCGCCGTCTGTGCCGGAAATCCACACTTTACAAAACTGGGTAGAAGTCACGGGAAATGGTCCTGCGCGGCGGGGAGAGACTTGGGTCCTGACTAGGTTGAACGAACGGGCAAGGTTTCTCAAGTACGTTGGTGGCGAGTACTTCAAACGTGAGTCTTGAATCGGGTAGACGTAATACACTTACTGACTAGAACAGCTCATTGTGACGGCTCATACGAGACGCCTGATGGTACCGAGCGCTCATACTTCACCCTGCATTTATACCTCAACGATGCTGTCGGCAAAGACGGCGAAACACAGCTGGAAGGCGGTGCCACAACTTTCTTCAGTGCGAACATGCAGAAGCGTGTCGACGTTGTACCAAAAGTCGGCCGGGTCCTGCTATTCCAGCACCGTCTTATGATCCATAGTGGTGACGATGTGGTGCGTGGGCAAAAGTTCACACTACGAACAGACATTATGTATAGAGTGAAAGACGGTCCAGCAGAGCCAGCAAAGTAGACCATGTCACCCGAGGGTAGGGCAACATGGCGCCTGAGGTTATTATGTCCTAGCATATTAGACTTTTCATTAGCAGTATCCTTGAACTACACGATGTGTTGGAAGAATCAGACTTACATAAGAAAAAAAAAGTGTGAACGGCCTGCCTCACCAGAGTAATCAGAATCGAATGATACTGTGCCCTTTTTCACCCAAAGGGCTACTCAAGGTCAAGTACGCTGCGTATTGTACTACAGTGTCGCCTCTTCCCTGCCGGGTCAAGACACACAATCTTCGCACCGACTCCCATAGGAACACCAGTTCCACGCGCTCTCCCACCGAAGCAAGAAGAAAACGCGCTTTCTGGGCCCTGAGCTTTCTGATGCCGAGTGCAGACGTGAGTCACGCCAGGCTCTTACGAGCAGTACAGCTCCCCTTCTTCAAGGGGCGCATGATGAAAAGTGAAGATTACTCCGAATTTCTCATTTGCACATTGTGACAACTCGATAAAGAGCGTCTGAGTGTATGCAAAGAAACGCAGCTTTGGCAAGGCAGGCCGTTGCAGAGGAGAGAAATAATTTTGGCGGGGTTTTGTAGCTCGCTGCAGACGCGCTAGCGTCGTCTAAATTCCGCCAACGCCAGTGCACGTGATGCTTCTCCACTTTTGCTTCCCCAGTCAATTTGCGTATGAGTGACGCTTGATGAGTATGAGAAGGCACAGTCTCTCTTCACACAGTTCTGCTTTGAATGAATCCAAATCTTCTAAAGTCTTCCGCCGCAAAGAATTGCACAGTCACTTCATAGAACCAACAGCTTGTCATTGTCAGCTGTTTTATTCTCATTCACTGTCACAGCATCTCAGAACAAACAAAGTCTCCCAACTTTTCGTGAATTTCTTATTATAACTCATATCGCGTACGTCGACGCAGTTGCTACTATAACTCGCCGCTCGTAATGCAGACGTTTCAAACATCTCCCCATCCCGCATCCTCCCCAATCTGGTTCTCCAGCTAACAAGAAAACAAAAAGCCCCAATGCGCGATTTGAGCGGGCTGCTGAATGTTGTGATCGTTCTAGTGATGAAAGGGCAGAAACGCATAAAGAATCAAAGCGCGAACACCTCTTGAGAGTGTAGATATCAGGAATGCAAAAGCAAGCCCCACAAACGCAAACGCCTTGCATATATATTTTTTTGCGGTGGAATGAGAAAGAAAAAGACAAGAGCCATGAAAATAAACGCCGATACTACCCCTCAGGACTAGGGTGTGTATGCAAAAAGGTCCAATCTCGTGGCGTGGTTGATAATCAGATTTTTGGTGCCGCTAAAGTCGCAGCTTGGGTAATAGGGGTTATTGTTGTTGCTGTTGTTGTTGTTGTACACACTTGGTTCCGCGAGAAAAGCATTGTAATGAGGCGCATGCGAGGTAAACCCATCAGTCGTCGAACAGAACGTGTTGAAAAGGACGTGAGCCTAGCTAAAGGAACGACCGCTTGCAGATACGACCTGCCGTACGAGACCAGCCGTGATGGGGTTGGTAGGAGGTTAAGTCGAACCTTTACCAGGAGAGCGGGCAGACACCAAGGTAGCTTGCTCAACTTTAGTAAAGAGTTCGTCTAAATCATCCCAAGAAGAGAACAGATTTCGATATAAAACAGTGAAAAAATAAGAAGCCTTACATCAACAAGCGGCCTATTGCTTTGGAGATCTAGGTCAAAGTCAGCATATACTGCAACAAAACAAGTCGTCTACAACTATGACCGTGGATAACCTACGTTGGAGAGTACGCCGGACCCGGAGAAGTCGGGCTGTATCTTGGGGAGGTTGGGGAGAAGGCACCAGCAGGGCTAGTGGGCGAGTATCGGGGAGACGTCGGGCTGTACTGAGGGGATGTGGGAGAGGTGGGAGAGCGACGATCGCTGCCTGCCTGGTACTGTGGACTTGTGGGACTGTACTGAGGGGAGGTCGGGCTGTACTGTGGCGATGTCGGACTGTACGCGGGTGAAGTAGCACCACCCATGAATGTGGGAGATGTCGGGCTGTAGTTTGGTGACGTTGGTGAATATTGAGGTGACGTCGGGGAGTAGCCAGCTGGAGATGTAGGCGAGTACGAAGGCGACGTGGGCGAGCCATAGCGAGGCGAAGTCGGAGAGTAGTGGGGTGACGTCGGAGATGCCATGTACCCTGGAGATGTAGCAGCAAAACGAGGGCTGGCGATGCCTGGGGAAGTAGGCGAGTAGCCAGGCGAGGTAGGAGAGAAGCCTGGCGACACGGGGCTAGTGAAGCCTGGAGACATGCCGGTGAAGCCGGAGCCTGGGCTTCTGCCTCCATCAAACGGACTGAGGCCACCACCATAGGTGCCTCCGTAGTCTGTAAAGCCACCTGTATCCCCACTGCCACCTGCGGCAGCCATGGGCGAGAAGGATGCCTGGTCATAGGAGCCCATGCCAATACTGACATCATAAGTAGGTGAGTTGAGGTACGGTGTGTCTGCACCGCCAACCACGTAGTTGCCTGCAGCGGCTCCCATTGCCTTGGAGTTGTCCTCAACCATGGTGAGCAGCATAGCATTGTCCATGACAACATCAAACTCTCCGGTACCCATTGGTGCAAGCTGACCAAGCATGATGTTTTCGGAAACACCACGGCAGTCGTCAAGCTCACCAAAGCCAGCAGCCTCGAGAAGAATTTCAACAGTCTCTTCGAAAGAACAACGCATCAGAGCACCAGTGTCGTTTCGGTTAATACCGTGACGAGTGATGGCCATGAGAAGACCGCGCTGGCACATAATATCGACAAGCAATGCCATGTGGCGATGGTTGACATAAGAACCGTCAAAGGACAAGACCATACCCAACTCCTTGAGAAGACCAGCTCGGGCTGCTTCAATACCAAGTACTCCGAGTATTTCAATGAAAGAGTTGGAGTATGTCTTAGTTGCGTCCACACCCTCAATGGCCAGCACTTCAGCCAAGGAAGTACCAGTAGTGTCAAGAACCCATTCCTTGCACAAATCGTTGTTCTTTGAGTGCATGAGGGACCTGTCTTCTTTTTCGACAGTGACAGTGTGCTCTCGAATAAAAGCACGCTCAACACCACGAACACCACGAAGGGTGACATCGTCAAGAAGATGCTTCTCAAGCTTGCGCATCCATCGCTCGTCTCGCTCATCCTCATCCTCGTCATCCTTTTGAAGATTCTGATCCCAGATGAAACGGACACGCATGACCTGCTCATCCGCATTCTCGTCACTAAAGATGACTGCGAGATTGGGCTTGAACTCTTCCTTGATCTTGCCGGCAACTTCACCAATGGTGATACTCTTATCCAGGAGCTTCTTGCGATCAAGAATGATACGGAGCAACCATTTGGACTGTGACTCGATGACCTCGTCCTCTTCAGGTAAGATGAAGTAGGACTCAACCATGTCCTGATCGTCTTCGACAAGGGTAGATTGAATGTCAGGATCATAGTAAAGCTCAACGGCTTGCGTCAATGATCGGAGGGTTGTAAGCTCGATAGTGCTTCGCAGTAACTTCGCCTGCTGTTGACTTGCCTTGGAGTCTGCTTGACGGACAAGCATAGAAGGGGTCTTGATGTTTGCAGCAATATTCAGAATTTCCTTGAGACGTGGCACACCGAGTGTAACGTTCTTGGAAGACACACCGGCAAAATGGAAAGTGTTGAGCGTCATCTGCGTAGCGGGTTCACCAATGGACTGGGCTGCAAGGACACCGACCATCTCACCAGGCGCAACAGCAGCCTTGAGGAAACGATCCTCCAATTCTCCCAGCACGTAGCTCAGTGCCTCCTTGTTGAGGCGATGTTCAACCGCAAGCTTCTTGAAAGCGAGACGTGCCCGCAAGTGAGCCTTGAAAAGGTAGGTGGCGCTGTCCTGAGCCTCTCTTGAAAGTTCGTCGGTACCACGGATGACAACCAGGCGATCAAGAGTCTCGCGAACCTGCTTGATGGTCTCGATTGGGTGGAGGTTGCTGGCAGCCTTCTCTGGGTTGATGCCGAACCTTGCTTGAGCAGAGCGGATCATGCGTGCAATGTTGAGCGGCAGCTGGAAAGTCTCAAGATCATCCTCGCTAGCGTTTGCACGAAGATATTCACGGTCGTTCTTGATAGCCTCGAACTCTTCGTCAAGAGCGCGTTGTACGTCGACGTCACCTTGAAACAAGGGAGAACTCTCGAGCTTCCATACAGGAATCTCTGGTTGGTCAGTGGTCAGGACGTCGAGCTTGTATGCAGCCTCGAAGGCAGGCTCCGAGGACATGATGATATCCATCGACTGTTTCTCGATATGAGCACCGTCAAGACCATCTTCACCATAGATGAACTCAACAATGTCTCCCATCGAGTTACGAACAGTTCCATCGTACTTGACCATGACGTCTTCGAGTGCCTTGACCAAACGACGTTGAATATAACCTGTCTCGGCCGTCTTGACTGCTGTATCGATCAAACCTTCACGACCAGCCATGGCGTGAAAGAAGAACTCAGAAGGCGTGAGACCACGAAGGTAAGAGTTCTCGACGAAACCACGTGACTCGGGTGAGTAGTCATCCTTTGAGAAATGTGGCAACGTCCTGTACTTGAAACCGTACGGAATACGCTGACCCTCCACGGCTTGCTGACCGACGAGGGCAACCATCTGAGAAATGTTGACCGTAGAACCCTTTGAACCAGAGACGACAGTCTGGACAACGTTGTTGAAATCCTTCAAACTGTTTTGGGCGGCAGTACCACCACCTTCACGACCTTCGTTGAGGAACTTCTGAACCTTGGACTCGAAAGTGCCACGGATAGTCATACCAGGCAAAGGCTCAAGCTGATCCTTTGTTGCTGTTGCAATGATGTCCTCGACCTTGACCTTGGACTTCGAAATCTCGGACGCAATCTTTTCAGAAGTGCCGGGATCCGGAATGGTGTCACCCACACCGAAACTGAAGCCGTAGTGGAGAAGCCACCAATTGCAGATTCGCTGGCAGGAGTTGAAGAATTTGACAGCTGCGTCAGAGCCGAGTTCGTTAAACACAATGTGAATGACACCGCCAGCAGAAGCACCGACAATCTTCTTGGTGACTTGACCATAGATGAGTTGGCCACCCTTGATCATCAGACTCTTGTCTTTGATATCATTGTCTTTGCTCGGGGTAGAGTCGTCTTCCTTCTTTTCGATGTTGACCTCACGAGGGAAAGCCATGCTGACAATCTGCTTACCGGTCCAGAGAGGCCGGGGCTTGAGAATGGCTGGCTCAGGCAGGATACCGTCCCAATCAGGGACCCACATCATGATGGGCATGACTTGTTCGATAGGAATGAAATTGTCACGACGAGTCATCTTGTAAACACCAAGAAGCGTGTCCTGCACGATACCCATCAAGGGCTGATTCTTCTGGGGCGATACAATCTGCTTTGGCACCATGCACAGGTTCTGGATTTCAGCACGAGTTTCATCGCTTTGAGGAACGTGAAGATTCATCTCGTCACCATCGAAATCGGCGTTGTAAGGAGATGTGACGGACAGGTTGAGACGGAAGGTGGAGTAAGGCATGACTTTCACGCGATGACCCATCATGGACTCCTTGTGCAGAGAGGGTTGACGGTTGAAGATGATGACATCGTCATCGTCAATATGACGCTCGACCTTCCATCCGTATTGCAATCGCAAGTCGTCGAGATTCTTGTTGTGCTTAAGGTCGAGACGAACACCGTCGGCCTTGATAACGTAGTTGGCACCAGGGTGCTGATTTGGACCGTTGCGTACCAGGTTAGTCAATTTGCTGATGTTGAACTTGGTCACAACTTCAGGGTAGGTGAGCGTTCGTGCAATGGAACGAGGCACACCGACTTGGTCCAAGGACAGGTTGGGGTCACCAGTGATGACTGTACGTGCGGAGAAGTCGACACGCTTTCCCATCAAGTTGCCACGAAGACGGCCCTCCTTTCCCTTTAATCGTCCACGGATCGTCTTCAGAGGACGACCGGACTTTTGCATGGCCTGTGGAACACCGTTGGCATCGTTATCCATGTATGTTGCAACATGGTATTGCACAAGAGCTTCAAACTCAGCAGTGACGTGCTGTGGCGAGCCCTCTTGCTGACACTCGGCTACACGCTGGTTGGCACGGATAATGTCTCCCAGCTTGTATGTCAAGTCGTCCTCTCCGCGCATACCTTGACCAGTACCATCGACTGAGATACTGGGTCTGACTGGAGGAGGCGGCACGGGAAGGACATCAAGAATCATCCATTCGGGGCGGGCGTAGTCGGCGTTCAGACCGAGCAGGGCAAGCGTGTTGTCAGATAGGAGCTTAAAGATTGTCTGCGCCTGCTTGGGAGTGATGACTTCCTTACGGTCGCCCTGGCCGTCGTCGTCATCCTTCTTGCTCTGCTTCCAGGTTCCTGTGAGCTTGAGGCCCTCCTTGCGGATGGTATCGGGCTGCCTGCTGCCACAACCGCCATGGGGAATCTTGGGGATCTTGTTTTCCTTGCCACTCTCTTCGACATCCTGAACACAGACGTTCTTAGTCCGCGACATGCGCCAGATCTTGTCGAAGCGCTTCTTCGCATCCTTGGTTCTGGCGGCTGCCTGCCAGTCGGGATGGTTCTGGTGTTGCAGTTAGCAAAAATTGTCCAAGCGCCTGAAGTCTCTGTCTTCGCCTAGGAAGACTTACGAAGTCAGCCTTGATCATGCCACAAGTGTGGCAGACGGTCTCGAGGAGCTTCTTGATCTTGACGACAAATCCAACGTGAAAAACAGGCGTGTGCAACTCAATGTGGCCAAAGTGGCCAGGGCAGACCTGGATGTCTTCTTTGCAGGTCGCGCACGAGTACATGCGGTCAATGGTGCCAAGCTTGGGGTCGTTGAGACCTTGCTCACGCGGCTTCTGTTTCTGCTCGTCCATGGTTTCTGGATAGATGATATGGACAACGCTCATGGCCTTGATCTCCTCAGGGGAGAGCAGACCGAACTGGATCTCCTTGATCGTCCGGAGCGGACATTTTGACTGGAGTGGCGCGCCCGGAGGCATGTTGACGCTTTCGAAGGAGTGAAATGGGGGATGAAATTGGTAAGGACCGTGCTATCGGTCGTCGCTCGCGGTGGCCACGGCGGCCGTTGCCTCGGCGGATTAACTAGTAAATGGGATTGCCGTTGTGACTGCGTCGACTGGCCTCGTCGCCCGGATGTATTAGATGCGCGCCGCGCGCAAAGGGCAGTGTTTTCGAAGGAAGGCAGCCGCGGGAAAGGGCTGGACGGGGGTCGGGGGCTCGCCGAGTCGCGCGTCGAGACGAGAGGCGTGCGCGCGTATTAAAAGCGCTCCGGAGAGCACTACCGGGTTCGGCGAGGTGGAAGACGCGCTCTGAGAATGCAGAACGGCCGTTGGTGATGGCAGGGGTGGGTGGTGGTGAGGGCGTCGTGCTGGGAGAGCGAGGCCATGATCAAAGCCAGAAGGCGACAAAGAGGCTTGGCGTAGTCGGCACTAGTGCTGATGCGGAGCCTCATACCCACTTCACCCATGGAGCGCGCAGCCAGCGCGGCCGCTCGTTCTGTCGCTGGGACGCGCATTTTACTACATACGTACATATAGTGCTCTGCGCCCATGGACACCAGCTCTTGCATCGGCGAAGATGCTGCGCACTGAACACCGCTTCTTACACGCCACACTGTCTGCAGTGCATCACCATGAATCTGTCGCTGGTTGATCCCTTTGTCCTCGCGCAGGACTGTCCCGATGTCATTACCGGCCGCCTACGTGAGTCTCGATACCCTCGCCCGCCAGACCATGGCTCCGCGGTGCAAACTGCTCACAGCACACAGGTAGCGGTCATTCTACATCCATTCGCTTTAGCCATCGCGGTGACCTGCTTGCATCCGGACGAGTATGTGAACGGTTCATGTCTGCACAATCTGCCTTGCTGATTTGGCTCTAGCACGATGGCATAGTAGTCATATTCGACATCGAGACAAATGGCGTCGCGCGCAAGCTTCGAGGTCACACACGCCAAGTGCAGTCACTGAGCTGGTCAACGAATGACCGCTACCTTCTCAGCGCTGGCCAGGACTGGAAGTGCGTGCTATGGGATTTGAAGGATGGCTCGCGGGTGCGCACTGTCCGCTTCGAGTCGGCCATATTCATTGCAGAACTGCACCCCAAGAACCAGTATGTGCGCATGCATGTATTCAAATGGGCTTCCACTGACAATGCCTAGCATGCTCTTTGTGGCTGCGCTTTTCGAAGACCAGCCCGTTATTGTAGACATGTCTGAGGAAACTCCAGTCAAACATTCGCTATCGTCTGCGCCCCACCGAACCGACATTGAGCGCGAGAATGCTACAGAAAAACAAACTGCACAGGATGCTAAACAGACCACAACAATGACCCTCTTCACACCCACTGGCGAGCATATCATAGCAGGCACAAACAAAGGGTGGCTCAATATTATCGATACTAAGACGCACCAAGTGCGCTATTCGTTCCGAGCTACCAACAACATTATTGTATACATACGATTGACGCCATCAGGCAGGGATGTGGTGGTCAATTCGAGTGATCGTATTGTCCGGACTCTACATCTGCCCGACCTCAGCGACCCCAAATTGGACTTTGACACACTTCAGCTGGAAGTTGAGCACAAGTTTCAGGATCTGGTACAAAGATTATCATGGAACCATGTTTCCTTCAGCCCGACGGGTGAATACGTTACTGCGTCGACCTGGATGAATCACCACATTTACGTTTGGGAACGCGGACAGGGCAGTTTGGTTAAGATTCTTGAAGGCACCAAGGAGGAGTTGTCTGTTGTTGAGGTGTGTTTCTTGTATACGACAGCAGATTTCGCACGCTAATGTTGACAGTGGCATCCGTTTCGGCCCTTTGTGGCTGCTGTCGGGGTAGACTCTGGCCGGGTGTGGCTTTGGTCCATTTTGCAGCCCCAGCGCTGGTCTGCACTCGCACCGGACTTTCTCGAAGTAGAAGAGAATGTCGAATATATTGAGCGCGAAGACGAGTTCGACATCCAGCCACTCGAAGAGTTGCATAAGCGGCGGCTCAATCAAGAAGACGAAGAGGTGGATGTCCTTACCGTGGATCCCGTTAAGGCTGGGGGCAATGAATTCGGGCCCGGCGTTGGCGAGGCTGAATTCAGCATGCCGATCCTGCTAGACATTGAGGCTAGCGATAGTGAAGACGAAGTGGTGGCAGTTGGAGCTGGTCAGTTCAGACGGCGCACGCCTGGCGCTGCGCGAGAGTGGATGAATGAAGACGAGGTGGCAGTCAGCGGCGATGAAGTACGAAGGACTAACGGGAATGCAGTGCAAAACGGAACAAAGCGACGACGCGCCGGTTGATAGGAACGAGATTGGCTTCCCGAAACACTGAAACAGAAAAGGACGAGCAGACCAGAACTTGCGAGACAAAGGCGAGGGTTGAATATTGCCAGAGCAGCAATTCCTTATTCCATAGGTGATGGTCATTAGCATATGGGCCGGGCAGGAAGAATGTAGTGAGCATAATGGCCGGTGGTGGATGATGGATTACATCCAATCTTATTGGCGCTTTCCGGCTTTTCAGTAGTGTCCTTGGTCACTGTGGAGTTTATACCTGTCTGCTTGTCTGACGTGAAGTAGGGTTTGCATGCCCCTGATGCATGCACATGGAGTTGGCTGGGTTGGCTGTGTCATCATGGGTGCGGGAGACGAGAAGCTCTGCATAAAAGAAAGTAGGATGTCGGTGTGTGCAAGCAGACACGCAGGTTGGCAGTGGTGGTGCCTGGTGCCTGGTGCCTGGTGACCCGAGGTCGCGACTGCCCTACAGGGTGGGTGGGTGCTTTGTGACAAGAGTAGCGTGGTAACGACTCAAAAGTTTTGCGTTACTCACTGTGACCCGCTTCATTGTCTGCTGCCCGGCCGGAGGGCACTAAAATGTTTGCAGCGCTATCCTCGTAACGACCGTCCCACGGACCGGCTGCCCAGGGCTGGCAGCAGCACTCATGATGATCAACGAGCCACTCAGCATACAGGGGTAACGGCGGTGCAGTCACGAGTTCCCAAAGCCTTTGTCGGTGTCTGCTTGCGGCGGTCATCAACGTCATCGTGGAGACCTGGGACATGCAGAAGGGGGGCGTCGCCTCAGCCGGGCAAGCCGTGGTGGACAGGAAATTACGCGCTGCTTCCATGGAACGGCGTGGGCAGGGAGCTGCTCAACACCAACTTGATAGGCGGCCGGCCTTGTGAAGACTTGGACAAGTGTATGTCGAGGGCATGTACAGGCCTGGTCAGGTTGCATCACTCGGCAGTAGCAGGCTTGGTGCAGGGAAAAAAGAAGGTGTGGTCAGGATGGGGTGGATAGGCCGAGGAGGCAGCGGCAGTGGGCGAGGTGCTGACGCTCGTCCGCGACAATGGTCGAAGAGCGTGGCGGAGTGGTCAGTTGTCGCACGAACATCAAGACAGGGTGCACAGCGAAGGCGAAACACGACGGGCAGCAAAGCGTGCAGTGCAGTGCAATGCGGGGCAGCGCAGCGCAGCGCAGCGCAGGCCGAGGGTGCAGATGCAGATGCAGGCCAGGCCAGGCCAAAGCATTGCGAGATGCAAAAGTGGCTGTTGAGCGTGTGGGATGGAGCAAAGGTTGTGCTGGTGCCGCATATGCGAGGATGCGCGATGGCTCCCTACCGCCCGCCGCTCAGGAACTGCAACGCGCAATTTGGCTCGCCATGGCACAAGGCAAGGCCACACGGGCCAAGGTCAGCAGGCAGGACAGACGGCAGCAGCAACGGCAGCATGAGCAGCATGAGCAGCAGCAGCAACAGTCGCGGCAATGTGTTCGAGATGCATCTGGAGCGACGCTGCGAGCGGCGCTGGGTATATCAGCCTGTCGGATGCGGACTAGCGCCCTTGGTCGTCGGGGCCAAGGGGGCCGTGTCCTCACCTCTTGCTAGAGCGCCGACAGAGACAGAACGTTTTAGCGATTCCGCCCAATATGATCTGGCAAGCCGACCACCCCAGCTGGGCCGAAGCCCTTTCTTTGCCTGAGCGGCAACCCTCATCGCGCACCCTCCCTCTCCACCATCCTCCACTCCATCTCGTGCCACCCTCTTTGCACCAGCCCACCTCGTCTTCTTCACGACTCCCACCCACACGCTCAACCGCTGCACGCACGCACTTGCCCGCCTAGCCACCAGGACGCTCCTCTGCACCAGCACGCTGACACGCGGAGCCGCCCTCATCTCCACTCACCGCTGCAGCAGACGGCCACCCCAACGCCTGCCAGCCTGCCTGCGTCTGCCCAACCTCATCTCGATTCATCATCATCGCCGCGTCGCCTGCACGCGAACATGACCACGAAATCTCCAAAGACTCTCGTCGTCACTCTCAAGTTGCCAGCAGACTCCCTAACCAGGTTCGCCCGCCCGCCCACGCCGGCGCCTAGCGACCAAGCACAGCCTTCTCCATCAACACCCACGCCGCAAATCGTCGAGTCTGCGCCTGCCGACGACACGCCTGCCGACGATACTCTCATCATGAACGACGCCAGCACCCCGTCGTCGCTTGCTCCCCCCACTGCCAAGAGGAAGGGGCCAAAGCCCGGCACCAAGCGGACTGCTGCTCAGATGGAGGCTGGCTCCAACGCCGGAACTCCAAAGCAACCCAAGGCAAAGCCTGGTCCAAAGAGGAAGAAGATGGGTGACATCATCAACGATCCAAACTCCAAGCCATCTTTTGCCGCTGCCCCAGCCATCAACAAGGCAGGCCCAAAGGCAAACCTCGGAGCCATCAACGAGCGCCTTCGCGCCCTTGACAGGTCAGGCGCAAAGTGCCGTCGCTGGGAGAAGAAGGGCTTCCAGGTTCGCAGCTTCACCGGCGTTGTCTGGCAGGTCCCTACATATCAACCCGGTCGAGCCTCCGCCTTTGCCGACGACGTCAAGAGCGACAGCACTGGCACCAGCGACTCCAAGCTAAAGGACGAGAGCAGCGCAATTAGCGACAAGAGCGGGCTCAATGGCGACAGTGCATCAGTACAAACGCCCATGAACGGCATTGCCAGCTCGCCGGCGCCTATAGCTGCTTGAACGTTCGCCATCTCTCTCCTTTGTCAACTATATGATGCACCCTGCCTCTGCCGCAGTCGTGAATCGCTCTCAATTTCTGTTGCTTGTTTTTCCGCGCATTCCCTTTGTATCTTCTGACCATGTTGGGCGTTCATGGATGGCATTGAATGCCTATCTAAAAGGCGTTTTCTTTCTTTGGGAGTATATCTGGCTTGTGTAAAGCAGGGGTGAAGCAAGGCGCATGAGCCGGGGATTCGAATTGCGACTACATTTGTACCGGATAGAAGTGCGCACACGAAGCAGTGAAAAAGGCATTGCTTTTGCCTGTCATCACGGGCCATTGAAAGGCTCAAATATTATTGTCTATTATATACCCGTTATCGACCAGCCCCTGATTGTGTTCCTTAGTAACTTGGCCACCATGCATCTAGTGCCCCCCTTCATTCATATTCTAGAAATGGGCTTGTTGGATCTTCATGTAGTTTACAATCAAAACCTCTGCACTGATTACCGTATACAGAGAAGAGAAAGTGAGAAAAATTGGTCGGCGGAAATGACTTGCCAGATACTGGCGAGCGTGACAGCAGGAATGGCGTTATCTACCCGCAGACTGCGGGGATGGTCCCCGATAGTAGCTCGGCTGCATCCTAAACCTCATGAACCATCCTTGACCGTCGGCTTGAACTGTACCCTCGCGCAAGCACTCTTTGCCTGTAGCAACATACTCTTTGCATGGAACCATGAATGTATTTGTGACTGTAGTTGCACAGGAGCCTGGGTGTCGCTGATTCTTTCTCTGAACGTCTGGCGACTGCACTTGCCAGCACAATACCTCCTCATCTGCCCAGCGTCCTTCCTTACGCGTCCTGAGTGTCTTTTCTCGCTTCCAAGCTCTATAGCGACTCCAACCACCGGTCCGGTCATCCCGATTCGCGAACACGGCGTGTCCTCTTGCGATCGCTTCCATACGTCACCGCGAACACGTCCGCAGCCACAGCCCACGTCACCATCGCTCTCGCAATGATGAATGCTCGTAGGGAGAGTTGGGCCAGGGTCGCCGCTGGGTCAGCAGGAAGCAGCGGCAGCTCATTCCACCAACCTTCTCGATCCACACCCTTCTCTCACCTTGGCGGCAACACCTTGGCCACCAACCCGAACCGCCTCTCTCGCTCCATCGACGCCGACGGCCACATGTCTACAAGTCTTGGAAGGGGCGGTGGACCACTACCCTCATATTCGAGCCAATCTGGCCACTGGAACTCGATGGGAGCGCCGGCTCAAGAAGTACCTCCGTTCTTTGTGCCGTCGTACCTGCGGGGATCCAAGCATGCGGAGAAGCTGGAAGAGGTGCACAAGGCGAAGCTGGCGGCACAGCGCGAACACAAGTCAACCCACTCGTCCAACGCGGGGTCGCTGTCGACGAGTTCGAGTAGTGTCAACCTCCACAAGATGGCACCTTCACACCGGGGACTTGCGCACGAGGTCATTGAGCGTGCGCCTGTGCTTATAGACGAGCCTGTAGCGCCCTGGCCAACAAGATGGAACGACGGCGACCGGTTCAGTCAGCTAGAACTTGAGGACGGTGGAAGAATGGCAAAGTTCGCAGGCACCCAGAAGACTCACGACGAAGCCGCGGCGGTCCGGGCAGATTTCCCAATGCCAAGGCAGTGCGGGATTTATTACTATGAAATCACAGTCATTTCCAAGGGTAAAGACGGGTATGTAAGCCTGAAGCTTGATAATGCGCATACTAACACACTCTGTAGGAGGATGATTGGGGTAGGATTCTCGGGCGCCAAGGTCGCCTTGAGCAGGATACCAGGTTGGGAGCCGGACTCGTATGCTTACCACGGCGATGATGGACAAGTGTTTAGCAACACTACTTCTGGAAAGAATTACGGGCCAAAGTTTGGCACATTGGACGTTATTGGATGCGGCATCAACTTTCGGACCAATACTGCCTTCTTCACCAAGAATGGGCACATGCTGGGTAAGTATGGGAGCTTGAAACGATCAAATCAACCACTCACATTTTCAGGTGTTGCTTTTAAAGATCTGAAACCCAACATGCCGTACTATCCTACAGTAGGCATGAAGAAGCCTGGCGAGACAGTTCGTGTAAACTTTGGCCAGGAACCTTTTGCTTTTGATATCGATAGGATGGTGCAAGACGAGAAAGCTGCTATACAAGCAGAGATTGCACGAACAAAAGTTGAATCAAGGGCTGCTGGGGGCGAGGATGCGCTGATACATCAGCTAGTCGGACAATATCTAGCTCATGACGGTTACGTTGAGACCGCGCGAGCATTTTCAACTGAGATCCTGGAAGAGGCGAAAGCACTTGCGAACGACGAAAATGCAGATCTTCCTTACCGGGCAGCGGTTGAAGATTTGGATGCGCTAAATAGGCAAAGTGAGTTCAGCGTGGTTCAGGAACTATTAAAGGCATGCTGACATGGCACAGAAATCCGTACAGCTATTCTTGAGGGCGATATTGACAAGGCGCTTAAGCACACGTCTGCATATTATCCTCTTGTTCTCCGCGACAACGAGAACATTTACTTTAAACTCCGCTGCCGAAAGTTCATCGAGATGATACGGCGGTGCGGCGAGCTCAATGCGCAATGTCATTCCACACCGACGGCACCCTCAAAACGCTCAACTACTGAGGAATATGATTTTGAAATGGAGCTTGACGAGCAGTTGGGCGTACACAATCCGCCACCCAGTTGGGACAACAAGGACCAGGACGATGAGCTTGAAGACGAGGACGAAGATGATATCGAGGATAAAGAAGCCAAGAGTGCGCGCGCGTTAGACGAGACGATTGCCTACGGTATGGAGCTCAAAGCTGAGTTTGCCAATGATCCAAGACGTGAAGTGAAGAGGGCGCTCGAAGATACATTCGCTCTGATCGCTTATCCTGATGCACGTGAGAGTATGCTAGCGCCATTATTGGATGTTGCTGGCCGCGCACCAGTAGCTGAAGAGCTCAATAGCGCGATACTAGGTATGTTTGAGTTTTCCTTCAAATATGGTCTACAGAGAGCTCAAGAACTCTCCACACCGAATACCCTTCGCCTATGAACATGACTTGCTAACCCATTCCAGTCTCTCTAGGTAAATCCTCATCAGCCGCTTTGGAGCGCCTGGTCCAACAAGCCGAGGCTCTTGTTATGGAGCTCGCAGATGATGGTGGACCTGGTTCCTTCGTCAATGTACGGAAAGATTTCCTTCAATAGATCTCTGCTGGCTCCTACTGTGTCAAGTCCATGGGTCTCGGCAGCACCAAGCGTATAGACAGAAACGAGGCATGTGGCTTGCATGAGGTGGAGTTCCCACCTGCCTCCACTGTGCCACACGAATCGAACTACAATACCAGTGCAAACATGAAGAAAAACAAGGCATGCGGGAATTACAATCCCCAATCAATGGTATCACGATGTTTGAAAGACTGATTCTAACACACACACACACACACACACACACACACACACACGCTCGTCCCCGTCGAAGAGAAATGGATTTTCTTTTTTTCACATCATCGCTATTGGCATTTGCATGGAGTGGATGGGCTTTTGTGGCGTTTTGGGCGAGAATGGAGGCCCGGGCAAGGGTCAGACAGAGGAAACAGGGAACGTCACTACTCTTTGCTAAAGCTTCCGGGGAATATAACTTGTGAAAGGGTCAGGGCGAGGTATCTTTTGCTACAAATGCCGCTCCATAGGCTTTTACGGTAGTGACTTTGCAAATGGCTAGGGCCCGGTCTTTCTAGTGTCTTTTTTTTGTATTCATTGGGGGGGCACGGGAGATTCACAACGTGTATTACTCACTACGCTTATCAATCCAACCAATACCAGATGATTATGATTGTCTTGTGCTCCCCACCCCTTTTCTTTATTCCAACCTATAAGATTTCTCAACAAAGTTCTTTACTACATAGCTCGATTTTCTATATTGTGACATAGGACCAACTTTTTACAAAGGCCACCACCACCTCTTCTTCTTCGTCTCCCCCGCCTCTCCCGCACTCGTCCCAGCAGCTCCGTTGCCGTCGCCCAACCGATCAAAAAACACAACCATGATGGTCGTATCATCCACGGCATTCCGACTCAACGGCTCGGGCCCCGCCAGTATCCCCAGAAACAACGCTCGCCGCGTCCCACCCATAGCATTCCTCGCCAGGCAAACCGCCGCATTCTCATCCTCAATGGCAAAATACTCCGGCGTAGCTTTCCACTCTACATCCTGTCCCTGGTCGGGATCGCACGTGACACCGGGCTCTAGCACTCTGCCGCCAGACTGCTGTTGCTGCTGCTGCGCAGCTGCTGCTCCGGTAGGCAGGAACGGCGAAAAAGGGTTTTGAGCGGAGAGTGCGGAGACGGAGGAGAAGTTTGGCGGGTTGGCTTTCAAGTGCGGGTCTGCGAGTACTGAGCCTTTGCCGCGGGCGCGGGCTTCGAGGTAGCGCTGGACGCATTCGACGGCGTGGTCTGACGAGATTCTGTCCCAGAGGCCGTCGGAGGCGAGGATGAGGAAGTCGGATTTTCCCTTTGTGTCGTGCGTAGAAGAAGAAGATTTGTAGTCGTCTGGCTCGCAGCGGACAACCTGCGTCTCGGTGATTTCTGGTTCAGCAGTCATGTACGGCGGCGTCTTGGAGCCTGGTCGGGGTGCTGTGCCCCAGAACTTGTGTTGGCATGCTTTGACGAGGTCGTTGTCCCATTTCCAGCGGTGGTCGCCAAATGCACGCGTTATTGCTATGCCCATGAGCCGCCCGGTTTTCGGGTCGATGATGGAGGGCTCGTCCGGGTGCTCGCGGGTTAGTCGTTCTACTTCTGCGGCGTTGAAGCCGGTTTGGTCCACGGAGAGGGGGATGGCAGTGTAGGAGGAGGTGGAGGGGTCCCAGCGGCCGAGAACGGCGCGAGAGTCGCCGGTGCAGGCTACGCGGAGGGTGGAGGTGGATGCGTCGAAGGCGGCTAGCAAAGCGCAGGAGCCTGAGAAGGCGGGGGTGAGGGCGGCGATTGCTGCTGCATTTGCAGCGGGATACCAGTTTGCTGCTGTTTTTGCGCGGTCCATGATTGATCTGTCGGTAGAGAGAAAGGCGTTTTTGATTGTGTTTTCAATCTCTGGGCTTGATGCTGTGCGTGGTAGGGCACAGAGGGCAGACGACACCATGGGGATCAAGGACCACTGCAGATAGAAGGCCGTGTGGCGCCCTGCGTGTCCATCGAGTACAGTCCAGTAATTCCATGGCTTCTCTCCTGGTCCGGGACTCGTTCCCAGCGCGAAGAAGTCCTCACACGGCTCGTTGCTTCGGAACCTGCAACCGTGTGTAATAGGCATCTGAACACCCTCCATGCCTTCGACGCCCTTGCGCGCATCGTCTTCGGTCATC